GGGACTTAGTCAATTTCTTAAGGCTTAGGGCTTAAATCTCTATTGTAGACTGGGACTTATAGGCTCTCTTTGCTGAGCTCTGACGCCGCCATTTTATAGGAAAAAAAAATTGAAAATTTTGTGAATACATTTCAAAGTATATACAATAAAGGCCTTAAAACAGCTTTTATATTCCATTCATTATATTCCTATAAAAACTTGTCTGGCCGGTTTTCCGGGCGCTAGAGTGGCATCACTCCTTAACTCACTTTTTCCTCATTCTTAAAAGGAGCCTAAAGCCCGTATCAGACTACGGATTGGGATTGGGATTAGATTGAAATTTAACCAATCACAGTAAAGTTTATTAATCTCAAGTTCAGTAACTTTTACTCTGATTGGTCAAATTTCAATCAATCTCAATTTCAATTCGTAGTCAATACGAGAGTTTTAGAGGGTCTACCATAATTGAAGCCAGCGGCACACGATTCTATTTTTCCTACTGGATTGCTTGCGATTTAGTAAATTACTGGAAATCCTGAGTGCTGAGTGGTACAATTAAGCCTATTATAGGCTTCACACCATGGACGTAAGAATATATGGACGGAGCGTAATGTAGGATTTAGGACGAGGGGACCCAAGCGAGCGCGGTGAGGGGAAATTGGGTGGCGGCCATATGTGATGACTAGCAGAGATCGCACGGTCGCATAGGGAGGGGATGACGCACACAAGCGAGCGACCGTGTCCGTGTGCGCACAGACACGGTCGCTCGGACAGCACTGCCTCGTGGTAGTGTCGCCGCCATATGTGATGACTACTTTTCCCCTCACTGCTCTGGCTCGGCCCCCGCTAACTTACACTCCGTCCATATATTCTTACGTCCATGCTTCACACAATGCCAGGCAACAGGCAACAGGAACAGGGAATAGAATTTCTGACGCGTTGGATTGGTTGGTAGAAAATTTCTGACGAATCCAACGCGTCAAAAATTCTATTCTCTATTCCTATTGCCTGTTGCCTGGCATTGTGTGATAGGCTTTAGGCTTTAGAAATTCTATTCCCTGGGGCCCGATTCTTGAATTCATTCGAAGAAGAAACGTATACGAAAACTCTGCTCTGACAGAAAAGTTGAAAGTCTATTGGTTAAAGCCATGCGAGTAGCCAATCAACTTGCAACTTTTCTGTAAGAGCAGAATTTTCGCATACGTTTCTCCTTCGAATAAATTCAAGAATCGAGCCCCTGTTCCTGTTGCCTGGCATTGTGTTTGGGCCTTTAGAACAAATGTCCGTGCGTTCCTAAACTCGTTCGGGAAGGAAGAAGCCCACATTCGATACCTAACCAAACTACGCTGTAAACCATTGTATACACCATTGTTGTTTAAACTGTGACCTAACCTCCCTGAAACAGCGATTTGTACCGCGCCACGGTGCTGACCCGTTCGAGGTGTACATTCTCCTCCGGAACGTACATTCGCAACAATCTGTGCAAATCAGTGACACCCAGTCATGTACTCTATATGCAAGAGCACTCATCCCGCGACGGGAGTCGAACACGCGATCACGTGCCACTTTTTCAACCGCACGGAGAAGTGCCTCGTTGTCGCCGGCGCGAATGTCATACGGGTGTTCCGCCTGATTCCCGACGTCGACATAACGAAACGGGAGAAGTACACAGGTACACCTTGCAATCTCAATTTTTCCACACGTCGCTCCCCTCGGAGCGGAACATATATTCGTGTATAAAGGAATTCCTTCCGTCGTTGCAGAAATGCGCCCCCCTAAAATGAAGCTGGAGTGCCTGGCGCAGTATACGCTGCACGGAAACATCATGTCCATGCAGGCCGTTCATCTCATTGGGTCGCAGAGGGATTCCCTGCTGCTCAGCTTCCGCGACGCCAAGCTGTCCGTTGTCGAGTACGACCAGGACATTCACGACCTCAGGACCGTGTCGTTGCATTACTTTGAAGAGGAAGAGATAAAGGTTGCAACTTTTTACAGCAAGTCTTCTGTCTATTTCTAGCGCTACAATCCAAGTCGCACTCGGGTTTCCTATAATTCTTTGCCTCCAATAATCCAAGGCCTTTTTGAAGGTTTCAAGATAGAATCTATTTTTCCGGGAGTAGATTGTTAGCCTATTTCCAACCGCCCGCAGGACCAAGTCTCAAAAAGGTGGACACTCGGTAATTGCGAGACGTGTTCTCGGTTGGACTTGAACTTGGGTCTTTTAATTTATTTGTTTACTGCATCTCTCGGTGCTCGCCATGTGCTAGATTTATTTCATTCTGGAGAATTAAGCTTTATTTTTGCAGTTATTATTAGAGGAAAGTCCTCTATTATGGGATAGGATTCTAATGTGAGATAGTAGGTTTTCAACGTCCAAATTCAATGACAAATCTTTTTTCGCAACGATTACACAATTTAACAATGAATTTTCCACTAAACAGATTTCCCTCCGAGGGCAATAAATTCGCGATGGAACCAACAGATGATGCCTATTAATTTAGCAGAAACGCTGCTATCTCATGTTGGGAGTCTATCTCATAATAGAAGACTCATCTATTATTTTTTAGTTCCGTTTGGGACGTTGAGCGGTTCGCACGTCTTCTGGCTGAAGAAAAAAAAATTTTTGATACTCGCGGGTTGCATCATCCAATAGGGATTGCATCATCCCGCGCGAGGTCCGGTAGTTGGGCCTCTGCATTGTGTGGCATCAAAAACGTGATTACACGATAAGATATTTACACCATCAAGACTATTGGTTCGTCGTGGCCGTATCGGCTCAGTGATTGAGCCGGGAGCCAATAAACTAGAAGAAGTCATTCTTCAAGGAATGACCGTAATCTTAGTTCCAGTCACGTAGAGATTAAATGTGTTTAAGATACTTTGTTTCTATCATATTTTTCCATTAAAAATATCTAATAAGAAATAAATTTTGGGCGACCTTAACTGGCACGTGTTAAATAAATTCAAAAAATTCAGTTATTGCCGAAAAAAATTTATAATTATGACACCACTTTCGAACTTTTATTAATTTACCTCTTACATGTGCTTCATTATTTATTAAGAAAATTGCTCGAAAAGGACCAGAACCCATGGTCAAAACGGTGCTGTATATTTTTTGAATTTGTTAAACACGTACCAG